AGAGCTACAAATTTCTCTCTGTGTACTCTTTTAGCTACATCCATAAATTTGGGTATGTGTGTTTTCATTTTCATTTAATACAAAATATTTTTAAATTTCCTTTGTGAATTATTTGACCTATGGGTTATTTTGAAGTGTGTTGTCTAATTTTCAAATACTTGTGTTTTCCCAGATTTCTTTCAGTAGTGGATCTCTAAATGTGATTTGTTTGTGGTTAGAGAAACCCATTGTATGATTTCAGACTTTTTAAAATTTTTGAGACTTACTTGGGACCCTCACTCTAATATCAGCATGTAGCTTCCCTCATTTTCATTGTCTTCTCTTTTTTTTTCTTCTTTTTTTTTTTATTAAAGTATTATATGTGTACATATCTTACTATTGCCCCCCCACTCCCATTTATGTCCTCCCTCCCCAGAGTTTTTTGACCATTAGTTATGCTTATGTACATGCATACAAGTCCTTTAATTGATCTCTTATCTCCCCCATATCTCCCTACCCTCCTCGCTGTAATTTAACAATCTGTGTGGTGCTTTACTGTCTCTGTATCTATCTTTTTGTTCATCAGTTTATAATGTTCTTTATTATCCATAAATGAGTGAGATCATGTGGTGTTTCTCTTTCATTGACTGGCTTACTTCGCTCAGCATAATGTTCTCCAGTTCCATCCAGGTTGCTGCAAATGATAAAAATTCCTTCTTTTTTATGGCACCTTCTTTTTTCTGTAGATATACCATAGTTTTTTGATCAAATCATCTGCTGACAGGCACCTAGGCTGTTTCCAAATCTTAGCTATTGTAAATTGTGCTGCTATGAACATAGGGGTGCATATATCCTTTCTGATTGGTGTTTCTAGTTTCTTAGGATATATTTCTAGGAGTGGGGTTACTGGGTCAAATGGGAGTTCCATTCATTGTCTTCTTTTAAATGTACCCTCTCAATGAGACCAACCTAGTTCAATATTAAAATTGCAACCACTAATACTACCATTCTTAGCACTTCTATCCTTTATACTGCTGTATTTTTTTTTTCTTTTTCAAAGCACTCATAATCTTCTCACATAGCCTTCTAATATAATTTACTTAGCTCTTTGAAGGCAGAAATCTTTGTTTTAATTGTGGATGTATCTTAAAAAAGCTAGAATAATTGCTGGATCATAATAGTCACTAAATAAAGATATATATTTGAGTGTATACATTAGGGTATTTCATCTATTTAGTCATATGTAGCTGAAATTTGTTCACTTTTTTAAAGTATATTTTTTATTGTTGATAGTATTACAGATATCTCTCATTTTTATTGGAATGTAGTATTTCATTATATAATCTTACTATAATTTAATAATTAATTCTTCTTAAATGGACACTTGTATTTTTGCTAGTTTCAGGCTATTGTATATATACCAGTGATCTATCCATTGTTATTGTTTTATCCTGGTACCCATATACCCAAATTTTTCTGGTGTGAATATGTAGGAGTGGAATTGATGGATAATGTTATGAGCATATATTGCACATTAGTAAATAATGTTATAGTGGTTTACAATATGGTTGCACATTCCTATCAGCAATGTCTGAGGGTTTACAGTCTCATCGATATGTGATATTGACATTCTTTTTAATTTTTTGCCAATATGGCAGTTTTCTTTTAGTATTTTCTTCTTAATTAGCATTTCCCTGAATTCTGTTATGGTTGACTAATTTTCTGTATATTTATTAGCCATGTGTATTTTATCTTTTGTGAGCTGCCTCTTCAATCTTTGGCCCTTTGTTCTTTATCAGCTTTTTGTACGCAAATATATTTTCCCATTCTGAGACTTTCCTATGTCTTTATGATATTTTGATGAATGGAAGTTTTTATTTTAATGTAGTTGAATTTGTCAATATTTTTCTTTAATAGTTAGTGCCTTGGGGAACTTAAGAAGCCTTCCATATGTATTCTTATACCTTGCTGGTGTAAATGCAGAATAGCACAACTTCTACAATGTGGAATTTAGCAATATAGAGAAAAATTATATACACATTTGATCCTTGGTCTCATCAAAGCCACCTCTTTTAATCTATTTCAACATTGTACTGGAAAAATACAAAATTCTATATGTACAAGGTTGTCTTTCATGGCATTATTCATGACAGCAAATAAGACTAAGATATAATACCAGTCAGTGTTGCATCAGTAGGGAATAGTTGAATAAACTATGGTACATCCACACAGTGGAGTATTATACATCTATCAGAAAGAAGGGAAAGAGCTTTACATATTAATAGGGAGTTACCTAAAGTATATATTGTTCAGTGGAAAAAAATGTAAGTTGTGCACTGGCCAGTATGGCTCAAGTTGTTGGAGCGTCATCCTATATACCAAAAATGGCCGGTTCAATTTCCGGTCAGAGTACATACTCAGGTTGGGGGTTTGATCCCATCAGGGCACGTGCTGTAGGCAACAAATCCAAGTTTCTTTCTCTCTCTCTCTCTCTCTCTCTCTCTCTCTCTCTCTCTCTCTCTCTCTCTCTCTCTCTTTCTCTCTCTCTAATAAATTTTAGAAATTTTAGAAATGTAACTTGTCAATAATGTATAGTGAGTTACTTTTTATGTAGGAGAGAAGTATAACTAATGAATTATAGTGTGTGTCCCCAAAATGTATACATACTTTAACAACTGATAGCTCAGTTTTGAAAATGAAATGTATTTTAATAAATACTGCCTTTATAATTATTCAAAATGAGTATATACATTTTGGGGAGTATATATACACACACACACACACACACACTCGTGTGTGTGTGTGTGTGTGTGTATGCTTATTTACTTATATTTTCACAAAAGAATCAATGGAACCATAAAACCTAATAAAATTATTATTTATGGGGAAGGAAAGAAATAGGATGCAGGAGACAGAGATGGAATTGAAACTTCTGTAAGGTACTGTATAACAGTTTTTACTCTAGACCTATTTAAATGTTTTTGCACAATTTAAAATAAAAAAGGGGAACATCCAATCCCTAAAATTAATGAACAACCTGAAACAAATGAATCTAAACTATTAAAAAAGTTGGTAGCATAAAAGTACAGAAAAAAACAATTACTTAAAATAACTTTAAAACAATATTTTTACATTCTAATGGGAAATATTATAAAGATAACTGCATAGAGATGTAAATCTCTATTCAGTAGTTTCATTCTTGATAGTCATATTAGCATTGTTATTGACATTTAAAAATTCTATAAATACATATAAAAAAGCAAATAAATAATCTTAATATTAAAAGATAATATTTTAAGCACATGTGAAAAGAGATATACAAGTCTAAAATAAAAAAGTTTGAGTAAAAACCTTATAATCTTACATTTGAAGTGGAAATACCAGTATGATTTCTTTTTCTCTTTAAAAAATTTTTTCTGATTTTGTCCACTGAAAATGTCTAGAAGCAATAACAACTTAACAGCAATGAACACACCTAGCAACAAATTATACTTTTTAAATACTATTTCCCATTAAAAGGAGCCAGGGGTCCTTGGAAAAATAGCCTATGTTTGAGTCAGAAAATGTGCAATATGACCTTGGGATATCTTGCTGTGCCAGAAAACTGAAAAGCACTATAGTAGTCAATTTGAAAGGACTTCTACTGGTTCTAAGTGGGATAATTTGACCACTGAAAAGAATAATGACTATATTTAATTGAAACACATAAAATATAATAAGAATACACAATCTCACAATTATACTAAAAATAATCATTGGTCACCACTGGACATTTGTAAGGTACCAACTCATTACTCTCATAGTGGGAAATAATGGGGGAAATAGTGCATTTATCCTGCCTTTCCTGTATGTATATAGGGAAACTAGTTGATGACGGTAAGTTTATTAGAGAATTCTAAATAGTAAACACAAAGAAATAGTGGAATTAGGGGAGCTCCATTTCAGAACTCTTAATAAATTAATAGATCTAGTAGAAGTAGTCATCACTGGATGTAAAACCCATTAGGTGAAAGATGAAAGAGAAACTTCATAATGGAGGGATCTGACTAATACCACCTGAACACACTGATCAATTTTAGCATCACTAAAAATGGGACTACCAAATATTATGTGCCTTGTGATGTAATAGGAAGTATACAGCCATCTATATAGAGGCTTCTTGCCTAAAAATATGAAACCTGAATCTAATCAAACCTCTAGATCAGCACTACCCAGGGTAACTTGTATAATATTGTAAATGGTCTCTATCTTTTTTTCCCCAATATAGTATCCACTAGCCACAGGTGGCTGTTGAGCTTTCAAAATATGACTAGTTTAACTGAGGAACTAACACTTAAAATATTAATTTGAATAGGTTTGTGTGGCCAGTGGATACTGTATTAGATAGAATAGCTCTATATTTAGCTGCCAGTTTGTAAGAAATTGAGGGAATTAAAGAAGAAATTAAACAATACCATGAAAAACAATCAAATTTATTTGTTCTGTGAACAAATGTGGTTCTTCTAATAAATCAATGGGATGGAGTAAAAAAATGGATTGAAGAGGTGGAAAGGAAGGAGTACTATTTTAAAATAAAAGAGCCTTAAGAGATATAATAGCCAAAAGCTGGTATAAAATACCAAGTGTAAAAAGATGTCTTTGTGATAACCAGGACCACTTCAATATGAACTTGGTATTAGATTATATTAAGGAATTATTACTTTTGTGAAGTGTGATAATGCTACCTGCTTACATTTTGAAATGTCCTTATCAGTTAAGTGCATGTACTTGTATGACCCTGAGAGTGAGCACCTCCTTAAATTTTGTATCTTAGGGACCTCACTTGTTTAACAATAGTTCCAGCCTTGCTTGGGATGCACTGTGGTTAAATAGCTATATACTATTATCTCTTGTTGCAGGTTGTAAACACCTGCCCCAGCAGAGTTTCTAAATCTGAGATCAAAGATTTAATTTTAATTAATTTGTCAAAGCTTGTATTGGTAGGCTTTGTAGAACTTCCCTGTCTCTTTGTCTTAATCCAGATGAATCCCAAAAGAAGAACAAAGGTGATCCCATGAACAACCTGGAAAATTTTTACCAAGAGATGATAATGAAAAAACGTCTTGAAGAGTTCCAACTTATGAGAGGTGAACCCTTTGCTTCCCACTCACTGGTCTCAGCTACATCAATGGGAGATAGTGACCCAGCTGAGAACCCGCCATTACTCCAGGACAAGGGAGAACAGGCAGCACAGGGTAAAGGTCCCAGTCTCCATGTGGCAAAAGTTATTGATAATTCACCTGAGCAGTGTTGGACTGGGCCTAAGAAGCTGACGCAGCCAATAGAATTTGTCCCAGAAGATGAGATCCAGAGAAATCGTTTGTCAGAGGAAGAGATCCGAAAAATTCCTATGTTTTCTTCATATAATCCAGGGGAGCCAAACAAGGTATAGGCTAACCCAAGACAAAAAACATGGGTTGTTTTCCTTTTAATTTACCTCTAACTAAAGTAATACTTTTTAAATTCACTTTAATTACTACTATACCAAAGAATTATGACATAGACATAGTGACTGTGTTTTTCCTTGTCCTTCCTATTCTTTCTCTGCATACTATATAAGTAGCATATTTCTTGTGATGTTCCTTGTGCATTTCTAAGGTCCGAAGGTACCCGTAGAATTTTAAAGAAATCTTGAAGAGACTGTAGTCCAAACCTACTAAAAGATCTGAATTAAAGAGAAAGTAACCTCCAATTTCTTAGGCTAGTAATAAATCAGGTAGTATTCATAGAACCTCCATATCTGGTAGCCATGGTGCCTTTGGAACTAGTCAGTAAACAGTTGACCTCCTGGTTGTGAGTAGGGCTTGCTATTCTCACGTGTGTTTTCTCTTCAGAATGCTCCACTTGGCTTTCATATTACATATGACTTAAGGTGCTGGTAGTTAAGAGCAAAGTAAAAGCACAGGCCCTCTAAGTCTTGAGAAATTAGCAAATATCTAAGTAAACTTGTAAATAATCTTTTTATATTCTTACTACATGGCTATATAGTAATAAACAACATATAGTTTTACACATTTTTAAACTATAGATAAAATCATGCTCTACATACCTTTCTATAACTTGCTTTTTAAACTCAATATACATAATGTTTTGAAATTTGTTTCTAATGCTATAAGGGACTATGTATTACTTTGTAGAAATATAGTATAATTCATTTGTCCGTTCTCCTGAAGATTTTTTCAATTTTGCAACAAACATTATTGTACAATTAGTAAGTCACAATCAGCAACTTTTTAAGGAGATGAAACAGAATATAATAGAAAATATCAATGGGTGTTTTATAGAGTAAGAGTAATTACTGTTTATTGAAGGTTTTGTTTTACGTATGTATGTACACGCACATTAGAGAAGGAGGGGATAGACATGGTGTGGGACAAGAATGTATGTCTTCTTATAGATTTTAGTCCAAAACGTTGGAAAATATTGCTTTGTTGTAGTAATTGTCAAATGTTAGATTATCACCTGGCAGGCTTGTTAAAATAAAGATTGCTGGGCTTTTCCCCAGAATTTTTTATTCAGTAAGTTTGAAGTAGGGCCTGAGAATTTGCATGTCCAACAAGTTCCCAGGAGATGCTATTGCTGCTGGGAGACATTTTAAGAATCACTATCGTAGATTACATACCTAGGAGTGGAATTACTGTGCTATATAGGATATGTATATCTTCAACTCTGTGAGCAGTATTTGAGAGATCTCTTCCACATTCTTGCCAAGACTTTGTAGTATTAGACTTTAGTTTTGCCAGTCTAATACATTTGAAAGGTATCTCATTGTTTTAATTTGTATGTTCCTGATTTCCAGTGAAATTATGTATGTATTCATGCGTTTATTCTTTTAGGAACCTTCTGTGAGTTGCCTGTTCCTTTTTACCCATTATTTGGTTGTTTAGTTTTTCATATTATTTATAGAGATTATTTTAAAATTCTGAATACAAATTTTTTCTTTATCAAATATATTATTTCAGTGATTGGTTTATCATTTTAACATTGCTTCTGATGTCTTGTGTTAAACAGAAGCCTTTCATTTTAATATAATCATATCATCAGTATTTTACTTGATGATTTCATTTTTGGAGTCACTTCAAGGAAATTCTTTCCTATAAATCAATAAGAAAAATACAAACAACCTAATAAAAATTATCATTAGATATGAATAGGCAATTCACAGAGGAGAGAACAGGAATGGCCAATTAACTTACAAAGTCTCATTAGTAATCAAAGAAATGCAAAATAAAACTATAATGAGATAACATTTAACACTAAGGATGTTGGCATGAAGACATGACAATGCCAAGTGTTTGTGAACATATGGAGCACTAAGAACGCTAATATACTTCTGGCTGAATATAAATAAGTACAACCAGTTTCAAGAACATTTGGGCAATATCTAGTAAAATGGAAGATGCACATACAGTATAAAGCAGCAGTCCCACTCCTAGGTGTCTATCCTAGAAGAATTCTTACATATGCACATTAGGAGATGTTATAAGGATGCTCATTATAACATTATTTGTAAACAGACTACATGTTCATGAGCAGGAGAATGGATAAAGCATGGTATAGTCATAAAGTAGCATACTGTATGGTAGAGAAAATGAATAAAATATAACAACAGGTATCAATGTGAATGCAACACACAAACATAATGTGAATGAAAAAGCCAGTTGCAGACTTCTGGTTTCAGCTTCAACATACAAAGTGCTTGGAAGTTGCCATCCTGATACTAGAAAAACAGCGGAACAAATTAAATAATGACTTTTTCTTGGACCCATCAGAGAATTGAATTCACAGAGCAAACTGCAACCTGAAATTTGGAGAGCAGGCAATTAAAGAGAATCACAGCCCAGATCTACTTATTAGAAGCAGGAAGCCACAGGAGCCATAAACTAGTAGGAATACTTAAGTGGTAACTTTGACAAATTGCTTGAGTCAGAGTGTAGATTAGTGTTTGAACATAACAGTTTCTCAATTTGAAGAGCCAAGAAAAAAATCTGTTCCTGGCTAGTAATAAATCAGATAGTATTCATAGAAGCACCATATATAGTAGCCATGGTGCCTCTGAAATTAGTCAATAAATACCTCCAGGAACCCCACTAGGTTCTCAAGTTGAAGAGATAAGGGAAAAAAATCTGTTCCTGCCATGTGGAGCAGAAAAGTTATAATTTTGAAATACACCCGGAGCTTCTACCTAACAAAGGACTATCCAGATTTGAAACAATTTTACCAAAGCCTTCTCCACTGTGGGAGAAGGGAAATCATCTTACTTCAGGCCCCTCTAGTCTTCCTGTCCCACCTAAGCATATCATGTTCAAATACAGAAGACAGAGATAATCTTGAAAACAGCCAAAAGAAAACCATTTTGTCAATAGAGAAACAAAGATAACAATTGCATTTGGATTTCTCATCAGAAGAGAGAGAAAGAGAAAAAGAAAGCTGTGAAACACTTTTGAAGATTACAGTCTAGGGACTCAAGCACATTGAAAGACTGAGGCTTAATTATAGGATTTCAGAATGTTTCCTTTACCCTACACCTTACCACCACATCAATAGGGCTTTAGGATAATAACTATGGTATAGCTGAAAAACCTACAAGGCTCAGACTCTATTTAAGAAGTTTTCAGGGATACCCAGAGAAAACGTGAGAGGAAAAAAACAAGGACATTACAAGAAATTGAAACCTGTGACACCTACAGCTAGAATAAATATTAAACACAGCCTAATGCCTGGCAAGATTAACAACAACAAAATCACACTAACAGCCTATTAACTGTTATACATCATGTTTGATTTTCACATGGAAGAAATTGAAAGGCATAGTAAAAGAAAAAAACAGGCCCTAGCCGGTTTGGCTCAGTGGATTGAGCGCCGGCCTGTGGACTCAAGGGTCCCAGGTTCAATTCCAGTCAAGGGCATGTACCTTGGTTGCGGGCACATTCCCAGGAAGGGGTGTGCAGGAGGCAGCTGATGGATGTTTCTCTCTCATGGATGTTTCTGTCTATCCCTCTCCCTTCATCTCTGTAAAAAAAAATCAATCAAGTTTATTTAAAAAAAGAAAAAAAAAACAGTTTCAAGAGACAAAATAAGCATCAGAACCGAAGTCAGATATGGCTCTAGTTATGTAATGAATACATTTTTGGAATTTAACATAATTATAATTAAATGCTAAAGAGTCTATTAGAAATAGTACACAATATGCAAAAATAGGTAAAGTAAACAGAAATAAAAATTCAAATAAATAATTAAAAGGAAATGGTAGAAATAAAAAACACTATCATAGGAATAACAGTTTGATAGGCTCATTACTTGGTATGGCCAAGGAAAGAATCAGTAAGCTTGAAGACATGTCAGTACAGACAACCCAGACTAAAATGCAAAGAGAAAAAAGACATAAAAAATGGAACAGAATGTCCAAGAACTATGGGACAGTTTTAAAAGGTGTAACATACACATCATTGGAATACCAGAAGGATAAGAGATAAAGGAACAGAAGAAACTTTTGAAGTAATGATGGCTGAGAATTTTCCAAAATTAATAATTGATACCAGACCACTGATACAGGATTTGAGCAGAGAACACCAAGCAAGATAACTACCAAAACAAAAAACACCTAAGCATATCATGTTCAAATACAGAAGACAGAGAAAATCTTGAAAACAGCCAGAAGAAAACCACTTTGTCTTTAGAGATACAAAGATAACGGTTGCATTGAATTTCTCATCAGAAACCATACAAACAAGAAGACACTGGTGTGAAATATTTAATATTAAAGTATTTGGGGGAGAAGGAACCCTACCTACTTAGTGTTCTGTATCCAGCAAAAGTATCCTTCAAAAGTGAAAGAAAAATAAAGATTTTTATCAGACAAACAAAAACAGGGAATTTGTTGCCAGTAAACCTGTCTTGCAAGAAAAAAATTTTAAGTTCTTCAGAGAGAAGGAAAATGACACAGGTTAGAAAATCAGATCCCTATAAAGAAAGGAAGAGCATAAAAATGGGATATCTGAAGGTAAAATGTTTTTATTTTTTATTTTAAGTGATCTAAAAAACTATTCAAAATAATAACAGCATGGTGTTAGGTAATTATAGCTTAAAGATAAGTGAAATGAATGGCAGGATGTTATAAGGTATAGGAGGGAGGAATTAGTATTTAGTATACTGTTATATCTGCACTACCTATGAACTGGTATAGTGTTAATTGAGAGTTGACTTAGATTAGTTGTAAATGTATATTGCAAACTCTAGGGAAACCACTAAAAATTATAAATAGAAGTCTAATCGATATACTACTAGATGGATAAAAATGGAATCATATAAAATGATACTCATTCCCTACAATCTTTCCCAGAAAATAGAAGTTAAGAGAACATTTTCTGATTCATTTTATGAGGA